GATCTGGATTATCTGAAACAGCATTCTTCTTCCTTAGATCCACAACGAGCAGGAAACCAAAAGGAAAATCTACAGGCCCATCTTCCAAAAGTAGTGTAAACATATAGCCAATCTAAAAAATCAGACTGGAGAACCGTTCCTCTTTCTGTGGTAACTGAAACCTCAGGAAAATGAGGTATAACAGGACTTCTGAAAGTCATTGATTTATTCTTCTACTCAAAGGAGGGAAATGTTAAAACATAACCAACAACATAATAAAGTACTGTGTTTGCAATGTAGATTTGGAAATGCTAGAGTCAAGGTTGCATGTAGAAACTTAATTCAACAGGTTACTTGTAGATTTTATAATTCAGTTTTTAATTACAGAATTATGCTTCATGTTTCCATACAATCCAGGTTCAATTACTGCACCAGATGGATGGGTTGCTGGATGGATTCATACATGGAGCAAGACCTCATCCTCTACAGACCAATTTGAAAAGATTATGAAATTTCTCACATCTCATGTCTCAGTAGTTTGTACTAGTGTATTTAAACAGTACCTATATATGATCACTTGTCCAATTGCTGAGGCTGAACTCACTGTGCTGCAGTGTCTGCTTCAGCTTTTCAGAAGAATGCTTATGGGTTGATGTGTTAATTTCCTGAAGTCTCTGTATTTGAGCTACTCCTCAATTCCCTGCAATATATCGAGGCAGGTTAATTGTTTCTTAACCTGCAAAACATTCTATGTTTCTGTTTTTATTCTCTGCCAAGAAGCTAATTTTGAAAAAAATCCTCATTTCTAATCTCTGACCAGTGAAAATTGATCATTAATAAATTATGAAGATGAATTATTCTGATAGTATTTTCCTTGAGGAGTGCACAAGTTAACTCCTGTAAAGTACTATTTCTTCTTCATTATCAAATTGAAAAAGTAATTAGGTATTCTGAGCCTGATGTGAGCAAGGGTTAAAAGGAGTGGAGATTTTTTTTCAATCTTTTCAGTAAAGCTGGGAGCTGTTTGTGATTTTCCAAATTTTGGACTTGTTTTCCTGTAGGAGAACTGTAAAGTTAGATATGGCAGCACTGCTTCAGTGTTTATTAATGCAGAAGGTTCTTTGCTTTCTATGTCACTTGCTACTTGTTCTTCTTTATCTTAATTTGAAATGCACTGCATGTACTGCAACACTTATTACACATGGAAACTAGAAGCATAAGAGGAAACAAATGTCTTATAAATTCCAGAGTAGATGCTACTTAACTTCATTATTTAATTAAATTAATATGATTAGGAGTGTGCTTACTTAGCACAAATGAATTACTTGTGTGCAATAATATGCATGTATAATATGCATGATAAGAGTATCTTTATTACTCATTTCCTGTGTTGGAACAAATTGTAAATTATTTCTACTTTGATAGAGGCAGAGCCAAGCAGAATCAGGTATTCTATTCAGATCATAAAATTTTAGGATTTTTTTATTTCACAGAAAAAGTTCACTTTCTCTACTGCCCCTCCATCCTTATGTTTAGTAAAGAAATATGCCAGAAACCAACCAACCAATCAGAACTCACAAATGCAGTCAACGCTCTGAAAAGATGAAGCCTGTTTCCTCCAAAAACCCATGTGGAAATGCCTCGGAGTTTTCACTCTGGAGTGCTGCAGGTGCAGATGCATCCTGCATGAGCAGACTGCGGTTGGAAAGCAGCCTATGCACATTCAGAAGTGTTGTGGTCCTTGCAGACTTAGATTGGAACAACCTCTGAGATTAGACAGACAATAGAATTATTAATTTTATTTCTCTGCCATGCCTGTCTTGCAGATTATTCTGTTTTCATTCACAGGTATTACCCAGGTTTGCCCATAATTGCTATCCTCCCATACTGCTGAGATTTGATGGTAGGTATATTAAGAGAAATTCTGAAATACTAGAGAAGCTGCCCTGCATTGGCATCCTTTTTCTCACCTGTCACCCCATACTGCCTATCAATGCAGCAGAGAAAACGTGATTCTTCACTAAGCTACAAGGGACAGAATTAGGCTGAGTTTGGGGTTCTTCTGGGACCTTCCTGCCCCTCCCATGCTGGAGTCAAATTCTTGGTTGAAAGACTGGCAGAACAAGAATTAGGGAGCTGCTAGACTTCTGGGTAATGAGATCCTTTAAGTTTTAAATAAATTCATCTTGCTTCAGGGCAAAAGCTCGCTCTTGTACAAAGGGCCTCTAACGCACCATTTCTGAGACAGCAACTGCTGGGAGTCTTGCAGCCCCCTGAGAGTCCCTGGTACTAGCCAGTCAAGAAACTGGACCCTTTTCAGGCTCAGGCTGAGAAGTTGCTCTTAATAAACCCCATAGTTGGACAGGATGAATATACTGAGCAGAGGTGGGAGAACAGCATAAAGGATGTAAAAAAATAAATGTTTCCACTTGCTCAAGGCAGTAAAGAGAGCATGCTATCTTCCTTTCCACACAGGTTGATGACAATGCTGCAGGAAGGAATTACAATTGAACCATGTGTTCATAGTGGAGGAGGTCTGTTCTCAGGAACACATCTAAATATACAGACACACTTACCTAGAGCAAGCTGTATGATGGTGACCAAACTTGAGGAATTCCTTTGCACTCAAAAGAGAGAATGAGGCTTCTTATAGAGAATGTGCAGCCAAGAGCAAGGTTAAAAGGGTCCATAAAACCAGATAAAAACTTTATGTGAAAATCCAATCTATCTTTATTTCATAAAGATAATTACCTCATTAAGATAACTGACTCCATTTTGTCTGCATAATTCATGACTGGGGGTGGGTGTGTAAAATACACTACAGGTATGTCTCACACTGGGCTTCAACAATGCCAACAGCGAACTACATAGGCATTTGCCAAAATGCAGCAGGGCAACACACAGATGACTTGCAATGATAAGCTGATAAAGGGCTCCTCTACTCTCCCCTTTACTACTCTGAATATAAAAAGATAAAAAGACATTATTAAAAGCAACAGTGCAAAACACAACATCTTCACACCACTTTCCAAACACCGCATAACATTGCTTTTCCCATCTTCAAAAAAGGGTTACATCTCAATTCTAGTTCCAGGCCAGCCTTTGGTGCAAAAAGCATATTAGGACCTCTTGCTGTTTATGTATTGTGGTTTAACCCCAGCTGGCAACTAAGCACCAGGCAGCCACTCCTCACTCTTCCCTAGTGATATGGAGGGGAGAATTGCAAGGGTAAAAGTGAGAAAACTCATGGTTTGAGATAAAGACAGTTTAACGTGTAAAGCAAAAGATGTGCACACAAACAAAGCAAAGCAAAGCAAGAAATTTATTCACCACTTCACGTGGGCAGACAGGTGTGCAGCCATCTCCCGGAAAGCAGGGCTCCATTGTGAGTAATGGTGACTCGAGAAGACAAATGCCATCCCTCCAAATGTGCCCCACTTCCTTCTTCTTCCCCTGGTTTTATGTGCTGAGCATGACACCATATGGTATGGAACATCTCTTTGGTCAGTTGGGTTCAGCTGTCCTGGCCGTGTCCTTTTCCAAGTTCTTGTGCACCCCCAGTCTACTCACTGGTGGGGTGCTGTGAGAAAAAGATGAGGCCTTGGCTCTGTGTAAGCACTGCTCAGCAGTAAAGAAAACATCCCTGTATTAACAGTGCTGTTTCCAGCATAAATCCAAATCATAGCCCCATAACAGCTACTGCGAAGAAATTAACTGTACCCCGTCAAAACCAGCACAACATGTTACAAACATGTCCACGGCTCCCAATGAAACTGGGATATTCTTGTGCAGACTTTTGACCTGTATGAAAAGAGGTCCCCTGCTCACTCGTGTCTCTGCATTCATGGGCTTGATAAAGCAACAGAGAAATGGTGCTTTGTGTGAAACTATAGATCTGGAAAACACTATCACAAGTTGGAATTGAAGGAACGAAAAAGATGATCTCAAAAGGAAAAGAACAACCAACTTTATTGCTTGTATTGACGGGTCTGAATTATGATTGGTGGAAGTCTCCCAAAAATGCAACTGTGAGGGCCTTCTCCAACTCTTTATGTGAAGCAGAATTCCACCGTGCAGTGTAGACAGAATAAAATTGCAACAAAATCTTCTGTCACAGATCAGAATGCACAATTGAAGCACCATGGTTAAAGCTATCGCCTGAGTAGTTCTTTTTTTGCTTAACTTTTCTTATTGTGGCAGGGGCCATAGACGGGCCTGGAGACATCAGTCTGCAGATATTCCTATCTCCACCTGAACATCCATGCAATGCCTCCAGCCTTCTCTAAGAAGAGACCAAATCAGCATTGGGAGGAAAACTAAAAATACAGGTAGGCTATCACACCTGGGCAGAGAGAACTTGGGGAAACCTGTTATAGTATATGTTTACCTTTGGGCAGATGGAGAAAGAAAAAAAGTGTGATACTAACTGGTGGCAACTGTGGTGGCCCAGATGACAAACCCTCCTGGCAACGCACAAGCTGAGCAGCATGATTCACCTACGTATCACCTCTGCACTTGGTTTACTGCAGCCCTACCTAGGAACGCACGTGGGAAAGGTACCTACCAAGAAAATATGTAATATCCTGTTTGCTTAGCATCAGCCCTAGCCAACAACAGGGCTCGGTGGCCTTTTAGGGGCCAGCTGGACCCCCCACGGAGGGGAAGGGGGACACAGAGGCAGCGGTGGTACAGCAGTCAGAGCTCAGACTGTGCAGGTATCCCGGCCCCTCCAGGCGATTGTCTAGAGGACGGACGGAGGCTCCTAGGAAAGGAACAGCACCTCCCGCCTCCTCACGGTGGCAGCGCCACTCCCCCGCGCGTTGGCGGGCGCGGAGCGGAAGCCGCGGCGGGTCCCACCCGCGGGAGCGCGCACCGAGGACCGCGGCCCCCCCTTGCCCGCCCCGCCCCGCCCCGCCCGCCCCGGCACCTGGCGCGGCCCCGCCCGGCCGCGGCGGTGGGCGGGCCCCGCATGCAGATGCGTCCCCCGCCTCTCCGGTGCGTGCTGAGGTCAGGCTGGGCTGCGCTGCCAGCGCGGAGCAGCGGGGCTGAGGTCGCGGCGGACCCGGAGCCGCGGGGGCGGGCGCGGAGCTACGGCGAGCGCCTGGCTCAGGCCGGGAGCGGCTCCCTGTCGCCGGGAATCCGGGGGACTCATTGAAGCCCTTCCAGCCGCGGGCAGCGGGACAGCGCCCGGTGCGCGGAGCGGGGCGCCCGGCCCGCCCCGCCGCCCCGCCGCTCCTCCATGCGGGCGGCCAGCGGCGCTGGGGCGCGGGGCGCCGGGGGCAGCGCGCAGCGGCTCTGAGGCCGCGGCCGGGGGAGACGATGGCCAAATGGCTGAACAAGTACTTCAGCCTAGGCAATAGCAAGACCAAAAGCCCTCCGCAGCCCCCGCGGCCCGACTACCGGGAGAAGCGCAACGGTGCCGGCGGCGCGCCCCGCCCCGAGGGGCCGCCGCACCTCCACCTCCACCACCACACCTCGCCTGGCTTTTCGCGCCGCCGCCTGCGCGACGACACCAGCGACCTGGTCCGCGCCTACCACGCCCAGAGGGACCGCGACTTCGAGGACCCCTACAGCGGGCCCGGCTCGTCCCTGCGCAAGCTGCGCGCCATGTGCCGTCCGGACTACTCGGCGCCCGAGGACCTGGGCGAGGCGGCCCTCAAGGCTTCCTCCTCCTCCTCCTCCTCGTCGTGCTGCGCCACGCCTCCTACCACCGGCTCCCCGCATCTGTTCCGCAGCCACAGCGAGCGCCGCCCGGCGACACCGCCCGACGTGAAGTACATCTCCCCCAAGCACCGGCTCATCAAGGTGGAGAGCGGCGGCGGCAGCGACCGCGCGGGCAAGAAGCTTCTCAAGGGCTCCAAGCAGCCGGCGACTGCTGCTCCCTCTGCCGTGAAAGATAAGGTAAGTGTTGAGCTCCCGTTCCCGCCCCTGTAGACTAGGGAGTAGGGCTGGGGCTACGTAAGCCCCTGGAAGGACTTTTGGCGAGGGGACTAGCTCCTGTTTGCATCTGGAGCCGCCGCTGTTCTCAATCATCCTTCACCGGGTGGCCTGGCACTTTTTAGTATCTCAGGGCAGGCAGAGCGTGTGCAAGACTGGCACGTGAAGTGATGGTGCCCTGTCCTCCTGGCTTTCAAACTCACCTCCCTTCTATGGGGCAGGTTCACAGGTGTGCCTAGTCCTGCTCTGCGGCGCAATGCGCTGCCAACCTCGTGACTGGTACCGAGGCTCTTGGGTTGGTATGCTCCTGCAGAATAGGATGTGAATCTTTAGGGAGGCGCTTTGGGAGCGCTAGAGTCCCTTGAAAAGCCTCGTGCTTGTGATCCAAAGTTGTGGCCTCAGGCCCATTGCTTGTGATATGGAACAGTCATATATAAAAAATACATTTAAAAAAAAAAAGGTGATTGATGCCATCCCAAGTCATGCTGTCTGTTTTTAAGGAGCCAGTTTGTAATTTGTTTAGTAATAACTTTCTTGCCTCCTAGTTCAGTACCAAAGGTGAGGCAGTTCAAAGTCCTGTGTCACAAGAGCATCACAACTTCCATAACTGTCTTTCCAACTGGCAGGTAGCTGAAGCAAACTCTGTAGCTACTTACTCAGATGCAAATGTCTTGTTTTTCAGTGGTCACTCTCTACAAATTTTAACAAATTCTCTAGACACAGCATTGTAAAGTGCTGGACTCAGGAACTCAGGTTACAGAGGGAAGTAGCATCAAATATTTTGTAAGCACAGCACATCCCCCCCACCTCTGTTGGTGTTGTGAGTATAGTTTAGTTTTTCTTCTATTTTGGAAATAAATATTTCTCAATTTTGTGAATTGGCATTTTCAACTTCAGTATAATAGTCACATCTCAAGAATTTCAAGTATGTGCTGAATGCTATCAGTCTAACTGATCTGTGTGTACATGTTTAAATATGTAACATGATTGCATTGCCACACTTTCATGACAACTTGATAAACTTTGTATCTGTCCAGGTGGCATTCCAAAGAAATCACCTTGTGACAGTGATGATACAAGATTAAAAGTCTAGAATTTATTACACTGGTTTTTTTAGGTGTAGTTCCAGACTGGAAGCAACTTCTTTTGTGGAAGTGATTGATTAAAAGTTAGCATATCACTGTGTTACATGATATGTTATGATATATTCAGTCTTCTTTAAATTTCCTGGGTTGATACCAGGTGTCTGCTCTTAGGGAAACACTTTCAGTGAAAACAACTGCTTGGGGCAAAATGTTTATTTCTTCCTTTTACTTCAATTTTTTTTTAATCATCTTTCAATTTTAGAACCTACTGAAGCAAATTTCAAAGCAGAAACCATATATTTGTTGCTAGGTAACCTGCTACCTCGTGTGGTCATAAATCTGTGTGCTGCTCCCAAGCCCTTGTAGGTTTTAAAGTTTACCCGCAAAAAGCTTCAATCGTAGTCACAATTATTTTCTCTTTTTGAGGCAGAGAACTATATGTGACAAGTAGGAAGTCTTATCATGTCTGAGAAATAAAATAGTCCCTGTGCCTCAAAAAGTTAGGTGTGCCTGCCCACAACAGAATTTGGATGTGAAAAGCAACACATGCTTTTGTTTAATTGTATTATTTCCTCCCAGCAGTGGATGTGAAATCTCTATTATTTCACAGCCCTGAAGTGTAAAGTCTGACAGGTGAACTTGGTAAGCAAGGGTCATAGCAGACAGGCAGGGAACTGCTTGTCTTCTACACCTGTGATTCACTGAGGAAGAGATATGAGGAATTTAGTTAATGGAGTGTCTGTAGTTTGGTAGCAAATAAAGCAAGTGAAAATAAACTTGTGTAAGAAGGATATAGTACAGGGGACAATAAAGAAGCAATAAACCCCCCCAAGACTAGGGGTTTATTGAGGTCTGATATTCAGAAGAATTCATAGAAATGATAAAAACATTTAAGGGGAAAAAAATCTGTAGCATAAACGACTAAACAACTTGGGAATGAAAAAAACGATCTAGATGCCATATAGGTCTGACTTTGTGGAAGTATGTTAGTGTTTAATGATCCAATACTGTCTGCTTGAGTTCCATTCCAGCATCTGTTGGGTGTTTTTTTTCTGTTTTCATTTACAAGGATAGGGTGCTGTTTTCCTTTATGTGTTAAAGGAGAAGTGAGAAGTATTGTTTTCAACAAATTCAGTAAGCAATTTTATAATTTCTGTTATTTCATCAGTAAAGAGTTGGCTGAAGAACTGAGTTGTGTGTCTTGAAAGAGTTACTGGAATGTGAAGGAGATTCAGGAAGGTGCTTGTTTGGTGTGTTTACTTATAAAGGGCAAATGGCAGAGTATGAATAGTGACAATTTAGTTAGTTGAAATTCCCAAGGGAAAAAAAAATTATAGTCTAGCTGATTCAGGGAATAAAGGAGATGGAGATTTAAAGCAGTGGCAGACATGATTGTACTCTGCAAGATTCCCAACATAGGCTGTAAAAGTAATGGCACAGATGTAATTTATCTGGTGTTCAAGAAGTTTTGATGTGTAGAGGTAGTAATACGAACTCAAGTTGAAACAGACAAACCCAAATTGCCATGCACCTTTTAACAGTGAAGTGACTAACCTCTACAGCAGATGCCCAGAGGAGAGTCGTCATTTCCAGATGTTTCTGAATCCAAATTGTTGGGTAGATTTTTTTTTTATTTAGGTAATACAATCAGTCGAGTTCAGGGGCTTTAACAGTGATGCTTACTTTCAGACAAGGGGGAGCAGGCTGTGTTAGAATTCATGGCTGAAGCAGCTCAGTTCCTCCAGTGTAGCAGATAAGAAATTACTGGCTTCCGTCTTTAGTGCTGGCTTGGGAGATGTTAACTTCTTAATTCCTCTGTTGCAAGCAAATGAGTGTAGGCAAGTTGAAACAGTATGTGGATGTATGCTGCAGCAACCTAGGAGCTACGGTATTTGTGCAAGAGTAAATGAGAGACTTGGTTTAAGATCAGCTCAATAGGCAAACCACGTAATGAACTGGAGATTGAAAACAATGAGCTGAATCTTCCCGAGTGACTGTCCTCTGTCTGGCATGGTGGAGTGTGTAGATCCATGAAAGCAGCAATAATTGAGGAGACAGTGCCTGTGTAAAAGGATACTTCGTTTATGTTCTCACCTGTTACTTATTTGAACCGAAATGTTCTCTGCCTGATTTTGCAGCTGAAGAACCTGGGACACTATTCAAAGACAAGCTGTATCATACTTCATTGCAGGAAGTTCTTAAGATTTAAAAGGTGGGATTGTAGTATTCTTGTTCTTTAAAGGATAATTATTTCATAATGAACATTATTTTGCCCTCTCTCTGTACAGTAGAGGCAGAACTTTGCAACAGTTCCGCATATTGAATGCAGAAGACACTGCAAGTTGCAAGATCCATTTCCACAGGTGTTAAAGAAATGTTTGACTCTAAGCTTTCACCTCCATTAGATAGGTTTATGGGCACAGATGCATTATGATATCTGGTTGCATGAAAAGCTTGAGCAAGGCTACGCACAAAGGCAGCAAACTGGTTTTTTTCATGTATCTCATGATGTCATAATGCAGCTAGAAACGCGTTTTTTCACGTGTCAGTCTCATGATTAATGGACTATTACAGTCTTCTGAAAAGGAAGATATTCATATATTCGCTGAACGTCCACAGGCTCAGGTACTTTAGGGCTTTTTGAAATGATGTGTTAGGCTGTTCAGTTACAAGTATGCCTGGCATCTGCAGTGTATGCACAGCTTGGAACACTCAGCTTTGGAAGCCATCCAGATTATCAGACTTCTGGATACAGAGATCCAAGCAGAGCAACACTACCAGGAAGGAGTATGAAGCAGATGGAAGACACGTGGAGATTTAAGGAGGGAGTGGTAGCCTTCTGGAAGAGTGTATACCTTTGCAGTAAGCATATCAATCCCATTGAAAAAACATACCTTAGCTACTGGATTCAAACAAGGAGACTGACTTGCCTGTTCTGAACTGAAATGTGCTTATTGAACTGTTTACTGGGACAGTAACTGAACACATTCCATGTGGCCTTATTCTTAAAAAAGGCTAATATTGCAGTACAAATGACTGTAAGGAAACTGGGCAACGTGGTGGACCTTTGTCTTGTTTCCACCTCTTTCCAAGCAGCCTGTGTATCTAATCTCTATGAATTGTGACCACTTGGCCCCCAATGAGCAAGAACATCTCTGCATCACTCTTTTAACTGTTCCCGCACTTGTTTCACAGGAGAGCATGCAAGACAAACATATTTCTGTGCTGGGCTGTCTTCCCAAACTGAAGGGATCCACATTGCTGTTAGAAACAGCAGATCTGTGCTGAGTTTTTGGGCTCATTGCATGTTACAAAGTACTCATTCCTTTAGGACTGAAAGGGTGAAGGATACAAGGTGAGTTTAAAAGTTTTAGAGAAAACTCAGACGGGATAAATTTTTCTTGTTAAAAGTGTTTGTCTTTCCTCACATTGTCCAACTGTAGTCTGTTTGATTGCATCTGTAATTATAGACACTTCAGTCTCTTGTCTTGTGACCCTGTCCTATTGCTGGGCAACAAGAATAAGCATGTGTGTTTTTCTGTCTCTTCAACCTGTGTTCTGAGCGTCCTGTGGTGTGAGAGGTGGCTGGTATATGTTTTAGGGCAGTTAGTCTGAGCTTAGTGCTTTAACTGTTGTCTCCCCATACATACTCCAAGTCACATTTTGAAATGGTTACCGAAAGACATTTGGTGATGACTAAAAATCGCATGGGGGCCTTTACTGCAAGGACAGAATCACAGAACTGCAGAATGGTTGAGGTTGGAAGAGGTCTCTGGAGATTAGCTTGTCTAGAGTCCTGTGCTCAAGCAGGGCCACATAGATCCACTTGCTGAGGGCCATGTCCAGACAGCTTTTGAATATCTGCGAGGGTGGAGACTC